CTCTAAACTGTTTAAACATTTCTATGTTTGTTTTTTATATATCTTGAGCTAAGTTTCTATTGAGTGAGGTGAGGTGAGGCTCTTCTCTCCAGTTATTTTTGATATGCGATCAATTTCCATTTGCCCAAAGCAGGATCTGTTCATAGAGGTGAGTCATGAGCATCATTGTTGATTCCCTGGCAGTAAAGCCCTGCCAGTATTAACTGTTGCCTTGGCTCTTTATACCTGGCCAGAATCACCTGGTGCTGTGAAATACAAATTTATTGCACAACTGTCTTCTGATTCCTCTGATGCTAGAGGCAGTTGTTACTATGGTAGGCCTTACATTAAAATGTTAACAGAATTACTGTGGCTTTTCCACAGCTGTATTGCCTAACTGAATGGGGATCAGCATTTCAAAAAGAGAAGATTCTTGCGTGACTACTCATTTTGAGGTAAATGATTTCTGGAAAACGTGCAACTTTGAACATATCAATCCAAAATCCATTACAGTGAAACAATTTCCCCTAGAAAATTTCCTGACTGAACCAAAAGAAAAAATGGCTTCACACTTTCTACCTTGCTTGGTTGAAAATTATAACCTAAGCAAAAATTCTATACTTAACCTTTTTAACTGGGAGTTTTTCTGCATTTGGCCTGTTTTTCTGGAAGTTCTTGAACGTGAAGAACAAGGAGCTAACTTTTTTTTTTTCCCCCCTCAATATATTTGCATTGTCTGCCCAAATCTTGTTGGATGAATGAGAAGTCAGAACAGCTGGTCTACGATCAAAATGGAAGCTGTCCCTATAGCAGAAGTAGTTCCCTAAAGCAACATACAAGGTGGATCTAAAATGAAAGAAGCTGTATATAGTCTCTCAAATGGATCATGTGTTCTGGTTCTAGTTGTATCTTTCAGGTATTGCAACTTTTGTAAGTAGAACCCTTCAATTTTGGAGGGGTTTTTTAATAGTAGAAAGAAAAAAGGGGGCCTTGGTAGGTTGTTTTGTAACATTGCTTTCTGATTTAAAGTTGCAGTGGTTAGAAAACTTAATCTTAACATGGTGGATAATGTGAATGTTCTGTTCAGATGAATGATCTACAGTACCCTTCCAAAGAAAACGTGACAACAGAATGCAAGACTTTGTAGTCACCTTTTTACTGTAACAAACAGGGCTCTGAAGTTAGTTGTCAGGATCTGCTCATTACCATGAGTTAGTCCAAAAACCAAATGCAGAAGTACCAGATCACAGTTGAATTTTAATGTCACCAGTTTAAGAAAAGTTTGTTTTCGGGTACATGCGTCTCTCTCCCTCCACCTCCTTCCCCCCACCTTAGCTTTCTTTGCAGTATTTACAACCACTACATTCTGTTTTAAATGCTGTGTTCCTGTTGCACCCAGTCAGAAATGGAAAACTGTTTATAGTGAAATGGACCATACTGTCAAACACGGAGCAAAGCAAATAGGTGAGGCAAAATCTTTATCTTGGAAGTTACTGCACCACTGGGTAAACATTTTTTACAGGTGACCTTTTTAAAAAAAAATGCTGTAGTAAAAAAAGCACCATCTTACTAATTTGATCACCTTTCACTATTAATGAGATATTTTTCCTCCTATTAGAAATATTGAGCTAACACATTGCTGAGAAGTTGTACTCTGTTCTACCTCTTGCATTGTCTGATTCACTATGTTCCAAATGTTGACTCTTTGGGTGAGCAGAAAGAGTACTGTTTGATTGTCAGACCAAGTTGTTGGTATGGTAACCAGTAAGATAACTTGAGACTTGCATGTAGACTGAGCAGACGTGCTCTAAAAGTCATTGAAAATGCAATAAATGTGGAACTACACAACTGAATTGTCACTTTTCAGAGAAGAACTGCACCTTAAAGTTAGAAATTGCATGTGCTAAGCTCCAAGGTAAAGTTTTATGCTTATAGCAATATTAATTGACTTATTGTGCACATTGCTTAAGTGTAGATATACATGTAACAATACTACATTTAAAAACGCATCTAAAATACAAGCATTTGACACAGTTGGTGATTGAGAGAAGCATAACTCATTTTCTGACTTGATGCAGATTTTAAATATATATACTTATTGCTGCAAATCAAGCTTTGCATTTAACTTTGTAAAGGATAGAACAGAAAAAAACGTGTGTAATTTTACATAGTCCCATTTAGGCTTTGATGTTTCGTTCTCTTAAGGTAAATGGTATGGGGTGAAAGCTGCTTTGTTAAAAATCATTCCCCATGGCCAAATGCAGGGTGCAGCTGCGCATCACTTGCAACTGCTATCTTCAGAAGAAAGAAATGAATTGATCTGTTTTTGGTTGAAAATTCAGTATCTGCAGAATACATGAAATGGTAGATACCATGATTTTTAACAACTTTGTCTTCCTTACTCAGTTTGTTTTCCTTGTCCTTGACAAGTGTTTTGATGAACAGTTTAATCTTCCCTACAGTTTAGCCCTACCCCAGACAGGCATGGAATTTGTGTAATTTCCCTGCCCAAGATCAGCTTTATTGGGCAGATGCTTAGTAGAATACACTAGCCATCTCTTTTTGTGAAGATGTAACATGCCTGTTACTGTAGTCACCAAGTGCTTTTTCCCCCCCAAATATCTTTTATCCAGTTTAATTGAACCTTGGTCATGAAGGACAAATTCTGTGAAAAAGTATTTACCTGATGAGTTTTGTGTGTGCACGCGCACACATACATTTGCAGTTTAAAAGTAAAATAGAGCCCTTTGACTATATTGAGTAAGAATTTTTTCCAACAGTGTAAACCCCACCAGGCTAAATATTTCATCCCCATTGAGAACTGAGAATGTTAGAGCACATGAAAACAAACCACAGTCTGAATAATGAGAATACTTCCACTGCTAGTAAAAACGGTTTGATTATGTGTACTTTGAAGGGATCCAGCTTGGGATCCCTCTTCTCACAGCTTGCTTGTTAGTACTGGTTTGGATTTCTCTATAGAGGTGAGGCTCCTGATCCAAATTCCATCGAAGACAAGGGAAGCACTCTTGTCAACTTTAGTGGGTGTGTAATATGACCTGTATTCTTGCTGCAATTGCCTGTTTATTGATTGGACTAGCTTCTAGAGCTATGGTTCATTGCCTTAATTGGGCCATGTCCTACTGCTGTTCCCCATGTCACATACCGGTCCTTAGAAGTGAGAGATACTATTTAAATTAATTTCTTAAATTAGTCACTTTAGCAATGTAATGAGCATTACCTGAAAACTAGGCAAACCTATCTAGGTGAGGGCTCATACAAAGGGCATTTTATTTAAGAAGGTAAGAGTATGAGAGGCTTCAGTGCCCTTTGCAGTGCTACTCTAGCATGAAGCAATGTGTTCCTCAGTGGTTCATGTTTGTTTCAAACATAAGACACACCTCTGAAAGCTGTAAAATGCTGAGGATTATTGACCAAAAGAAACAGCTCAGCATATCCTGCCAACTGAATATTTCAGTTAGAGGTGGAAACACTGCAAACACTGCTGCATTTAAATATTTCAGCCCATCTTACACTTTCATGTCTCTGGGTTTGTTTGTTTTTTCTTCCAAGGCCTGTGAAAACCACTAGTAAGGTGACTGATTTTGATAGTGGTTCTAAATGCTTTAGAGATCATGCAGAGAAACTGCTTTCAAAGTATTTTGCCCCTGAAGGGAGGGGAGGAGAACTCTTGGGAAGGGTCCTAACATCAGTGATGTTATCACAAAAGCAGATGGTATAATGTGACATAAACAAGATTTTAGGGCACTAACTTCACTAGTTTTGGATCATTTCTCCTACTGATTATTCCAGGCATTTGGATTAATTTTTTGAACCAAGCTATTCTAGATTCCAACTATTATTTGAGCAACTTGTTTACTAGCGTGTTTGGGCTCCCAACCCAAAGATATGACCTGTATTTTAGCAAGATGAAGTGGGCAGTGATTTGAGAACCTAAACGTTGGATAATAAAACAGTGCATTAAAACAGTAACTTTTGTATACTACTGAATTAAACCAGCCTATGATAAATCACTGCTACCAGATTTGTCCTGCCACATGCAAAGATTTACTAGGCGAGAACTGAAGTGCTTTGACAATCTCTAGTACTTTAGTGGTCACAAAGTACAGGATGAAAGGTGACTGACACTATAAGAGGTCTTAAAATAAGCCACTTAAAAGTGGATGATGATGGTCAGCAATCATAATAAATCTACTGACAGGATGAATCTTTTCTGACCTGAGACTGAAACAACCTCCTGTATAGGAGGAGGCTTGTTTTTAAAATGTAAGTTCAGGAATCTGAGCATGACTGTTAAGCTGCTCTAGATGGCACTTTAGTAGGTATATTTTGGTAGGGTTAGGAAAGAATGAACCTCTTTCTGCCCTAGTCTTTTAAGGCAGGATTTTATACCTCTGAAATTTGTCTCGTTTAAAATAAGTGTTCCTGACATTGCAAGATGGAATTTGTGAGTATATAGTTATGTAATCCTTTTCATGTCAGAACTACCTGCCCTGCTGAAGGATAAAACTGTGAGCACTTGAAAATATTATTAAGGCTTCAAACTAGGAGGCTTTGTTCAGATAACGGTAGAGAACTCTCAGGCACTTAACATTGCTTGTCACCCAAATAGAACTCCTTTCTGTTTCATTTGATCATCGATTATTACCTAATGTTTAAGGGCTATGTAATTAGGTGCCCTTTCAAATTGTCTGTTGGCAG